ATGATGAGGAAAATAAGGTGGTTCCATGAAGTGACCTCCGTTGACGAGTTGAATCTGAATTGGCGGTACAGAGCAGGACTTCAAAACTTTCTAGGAGTTTCTGTAGACCTCTGAACCCTTCAGATGGAAGGGTGAGGAAAATTATGAGACCACTGGCATTGATTGATCTCTATCTAGGATGAGCCACGCATCCCACTTGAATTCAGAATCGTAGTGACATTTGGATGCGACATCACCCCGATGTACAACCCAGCACTTCTAAGCTCCCAAGAGCTCCTAACACCAATCAAGAGACCTCTGATGAATTCAAGGACCTCTTTCTGGTACATGGCAGCCAAAAATGGAATACACCTAAAGAATGTGTTGGTTACTAGCTGGCAACCATATTAACTTTAAGAAAACAGGGGATACAGTATCCTAACTGCGCGTAAAATTGAGAATGTGGTAGCAGCTAGTGCACACAGCACCACTGAGTTTCCGCCCATCCAGAGCTCGTTGCACTTCAGCTATTATAGCTACTGATTAAGGGCAACGAGCCTCGCTCTCATTTTTGAGCCCCAACCCGGACCTTTTGCGGTAGGGTTCTGTGCGCCAAATTTTGTGCGTTTACGAGGCCAACACATTTAATTTCACGTGCAGGGGGTACTGTACGCCGCATATTTTCCCATACTTGTAATGTTGTGCCAACCTCAGCTATCAGACCTTCCCTTCCCGTGGTCACGAAAGGAAGGAATAGATACGGTAATGTCCGTGTAATGTAAAATTGTGCTCTTACCTCAACCTCTCGTCCAAGATCCTTCAAGCGCTTGGTTACATAGCGACAGCAGAAAACCGAGGAAGCCGCGAGGTCATCAAAAGCGCCCTGAATGGATAATTTTTGATCTTGCATCAATAATCATGAGCAGAACAGACTGCCGTTTCTGCTTACGGCGCCTGCCTGCTTTCCATCGATCGCGAAAAGCTACCATGACGAATATTTTTTTTTACTTTCCGTAGCATACGAGGCAAAAAAAAGTTCTAGACAAAACTTACCACAATCCGGAATGAAGTGTGGGGTGAGGTGCGATGCCATGGTATTTCGTTTGTTTCGTCGACTTCACAATGATGTATTGTCCTGTCGGATGCCATGACTCCGTTGATGAAGCGGATTCGTTCATCGGCAAGCCTGGAAATATCTCGTCATGTGTGTCTGTTGATGACTACGGTTGATATCGTCGCAATCAGTAGGTGTCAGGAGGGGCAGGAAGAGGCAGCGTTCGGACTTCGCGACGGCAGCGCTTCAGAGGCGTGATCCGGCGATCGATTCGCATGCT